GCTCCGCCACGCCTGACCGCCGAGGGTGCGGGAGGAACTCCACCAGGGTTCGCCATGGGGAACTGAACTGAGGAGCAAAAAAGCGCACGTATCCGGTCCGTAGAGGGGAACGGCGCAGCAAGCGTGATCGACACCGTGCAGGTCCGGTGTTACTGCCTACCTGAGGCGAGTACACGAGAGGACACGGGCTCTACACGGAGATTATAGAATCTCCTAAACGTGTTAGGCGTCGCCCAGCCGGCAGCTCTACAGATGTCTGCTATCGAGGCACCCCGCGCCAATGCCCAAGAAGATGCCACCCCTCTTGTAGAGTGTGCTCTCACTCTGAGGGGGCACGGTAACCGTTGGGCCTGGTATGCTAAGACTATAGTCTCCACTATCCAGTGGGCAAGTCTTTGTTTGGAGACAGCCTTTCCCTTCTGCTGTTCTCCGAAGCAGACAAAGAGCTGGTCTGAGGTCCTGAAGCTCCGCGTACGGTCCACGTAAATGCGCAAAGCACGAACGGGACAGAGCAGAGCAACGGCTGGGTCTGCCTCCTCCCAGGGCAGCGCTTGCTTGACTGGGGGGATCTGGTAGTAAGGACGGAAGAAGCACTAGCTCTGTTTCGGGCAGAAAAAGGTGCCCTCCAAGATCTAGTAACTTCTTCATGCACTTCCGGAAAGAAAGGAACCGGAGGTGGCTGCCGGTGATTGGCCTGCGACACCCCCAGGAACCAATCATCCAACCTCGAGCATTCGGGAGATGGAGGTGGTTTCCATTGCAACCCGACACTCTCAGCGGCCCGGGAAAGCATAGCAGTCAGCTCCGGATCTGACTCGGGCAAAACTACTCTTCCTGACGGAGGCAGCGCAGCCGATACCTCATCTCCAGAGCCTAGCTCGTCCCCCGATGCAGTGATCGACATCCTGTCATCTGCCGGAGGCCCGAATGAGATGCTAGACCCCGCCCTGTCTGGAGTCTCAGCCACATCATCACAGAACACCAGAGGGTGCGATGTGCTGGAGGAGTGAGGGGCCCGCGGAGACGCACTCGACGGGGAAGCCCTCACTGTGATCCTCAGATCGCCTTGGCCATACGCCGAAGTAGTCCTCCACTGTTGGGAGGAACTAGAACGGGGCATGGGGAGGGGGACTCCCCCTCGTTTAATGAAGAGGAGCCTCGATCGCAACACCGCAATGGTCATGTCCCCGCAATGAGAACATGAGTCATCCACGAGCGCATCCTCAGCGTGCTCAACGCCCAGGCACGAGATGCAGCGTTCGTGACCATCAGATGGAGCCAGGAAGCGACCACACCCAGAAACACACGAGTGGAAGGCCATCTTTAAAAAGACGCCGCATCACTCATGGAGCTCTTTTAGATTTGCTCTTTTAGATTTGCTCTTTTAGATAGCAAAAGTTTTGAAGCGCCCAGGAGAGGTCGCAGCGCGACCACAGTTTGAGGAGCTGCAGCACACAGTCCAAACACCAACAGCAGCACTGGACCAGCAACCCCCGCTGACGCGCCGTAACACCAACACTGCAGAACGCTGTCTTGTAGACACGTGCTCGGTAACCAGACCAGCTGAAAGGCTCGGCTCCGAAGCGAAAAGCTGAATGTGCACGCACTCTCCTTATATACCCGTGCTGCGGGGCGGGGTGCGTGATGCAAAGATCGCACGCCAACACTTATTGGCTTGTTTTGTTAACACTCGAAGGTGATTGGTCTCTCTAGCGAAGATCCCAATTCGTCAGTCACTACTGACGTAACGTCGAACGTGACTGACTGAAAGGGAACTACGTAATGCTGCCTCAGAATTTTTGTGCATGTATGTGACACTCACCGGCTGAAAGGCACGATGTGACATTGCAGGACCTGTAGACGGCTCTCTTCCCAGTGCAGTAGCGGCCGTTGTTTCGGGGTGGAGGGTTATTACAGAGACGATGCGCAAACTGGACGCCACCGCCACATGTACGAGAACAGGAACCCCATGGAGCCCAGGAGCTCCAGCTGCCATGATTCGATGTCTGTGACATAACAGAGATAATCAGAAATCAAATGATGAAGAGCAGACTGAATACACACTGAATCACGCCTGTGGAATTCACTGACATGAATGGGCTGAACTGTGGAAAAAAGTAAGTGTTTTATGTGAAGGCGTGTGCACATCCATTCACCGGCCCACAATAAACAAGCTCTGAGCCAAAATGAGTTTGAGACCTGAACGCTGGACATTCAGAGAGAGGAAGGGTGTGTGTGAGTGTAATAGAAACACAAACCGCGACAAACAAACATGCGAGCATGAAGAAGGCTCAAACAAGAGAAACATTCTTCATCGGGACTAAAACGAGTCCCTAAAACACTTAATGACCTCTGAGATGTCAATAAAAATACCCTGCTAGACGAGAAGATGGGAAATTCCTGCTGGTTAAATGTGTTTGATACTAATCTAGTTAGGTCAGAACAGTGAGACACAGAAGGATAACAGTGTTAAGAGCAGCGCTCTGCTTTAGGTTCACATGTATGACGTTCTGAGCTGCTGACAGGGAACATTCTGGAAAGGTTCTCTCAAAGTTATGAACAGTAATGTTAATAGAACATTACATTCAAATTTATCTGGTCTTTAATAATGTTCTACAAATGTTAGCACAAAAGACATTATTTATACGTCGTTCATAGAATGTTTTTTCTTAAATGTTGAATGTTCATCCCACGTTTTTTTTAAACGTTACTACTTGTTTCAGAACATTAAAAAGTAACATTCCCATAATGCTGGCAATAAAACTGAATGTTCCCCTAATGTTTCCATAACCAAGAATTTTTTTAAACATTAAAAAATGACATTTTAAATGTTTATAGAATGTTTTCATAACTTAAAGGGAACATTATAAAAACGTTCTTAGAACAACGTCTCTCCTCCACAGCAGTGCTGAATCACAAAAACAGTGCTATATAAATAAAATGCCAGTTTGGGGTCAGTAAGATTTTTTTTTTTTTAAAGAAATTTTTACTTATCAAAGTCACATTAAATTGACACAAAGTGACAGTAAAGACATTTATAACGTTAAAACAATTACTATTTCAAATAAATGCTGTTCTTTTGAACTTTCTATTCATCCAAGAATCCTGAAAAATAAAATGTATCATGGCACAAAATATGAAGCAGCAAAACTGTTTTCAACATTGCTAATAATCAGAAATGATTGCTTAAGCAGAAAATCAGCATATTAGAATGATTTCTGAAGGATCGTGTGACACTAAAGACTAGAGTAATGATGCTGAAAATTCAGCTTTGATTACAGGAATAAATTACATTTTGCAATATATTCACATAGAAAACACTTATTTGAAATGGTAATAATATTTCACAATTTTTAATGCATTTTCGATCAAATAAATGCAGCCTTGGTGAGCAGAAGAGACTTTTAAAAAATTTTAAAATCTTACAGACCCAAGGCACTAGTGAACACTATTGTAGATGCTATTCTGAAGGTGAACGTAACGGAATCAATATGATGAAGTGAGAGAGAAAGCAGCAGAGAGAAAGGTTGATGGATGTGTTTGAAGAAGCGCAGGAGAGTTGGAGAGGATGATGAGAGACGTTGAAGACCCACTGAGACGCTCCTCACTGAAAAACATTCTGGAGCACTGGAGAAACGGTCCGCAGAACTAATTTGAACCAGAGATCTGGGCCCGTATTCATGAAAAATCTTAGTGCTAAGAGCATTTCCTATCAAATACGTTAAGTATGACATTAACAGCATGGTAAATAAAAAAATAAAGAATATATATACATATATAATGTGTGTGTGTGAGAGTACGGTAAAATCTGAAAAATTATGCCTGTAATTTCAAAGTGAAGGCTTATAATAGACCCTACTCTTAAAAGCGCTCTTTTATTTCCTTCTTGGACAAGCAACCAATCACAGTCTTCAAAAGACTGTGTCATAGCTAGCAACAGGGTCAGCCCCGCCTCCTCACTAAGATAAAAGTTTTTGTCTTTTCCTCTCTCAGAGTTGCTCTCAGATTGGTCCTGAATCACTTTTAAGCTTAGGCTCCTAGTTAGAAATGTTTAAGCTAACGTAGGAGCTCTCTGAGAGGATTCTTAGAATCTTTAAGAATACTTGAGACCAGTTTGTTTTTTATTTTTTTGCATGTCTTACTATCAGCCATGATTATTCTACTCTGTTAATTAAAAGACTGTTTATATGCATATTCGCTAATTTTTTACAAGAAGCATACAGGCTGACAATTAGCTGAACATACATATACGTATACAGTATATTATATTGTTTAATTTGTGTCACTTAGCCTGCATTTTAAAATCTTTATTTGAATGTGGTAATTATCATTTTTATTTTTAAACCTTTATTTGAATATGGCAACATATTATCGCATTCTACAATATTTCTATGAATAAATCTCTGACAGAGACTATCAGCCAATCACTGTATGCGTAGTTAGTAAGCATGCTGACATCATCCATAGCAACGAGGTCAACCCCGCCCTTACTCTTAGCTCAAGACTTCTCTCTATTCCTTAGTAAAAGTTTGTCTCAGCAGCTTTGAGAATAGGTTTTAAAAGAAAACTCTTAGCTAAAAACGTTTAGTGCTATTTAGGAGAACTCTTAGTGGTAAGATAAAATGTTTTGTGAATACGGGCCCAGATGTGTTAAGACAATGGGTGCGATTCAAATGGACAAATGAGAGCAAGTGGTCTAAAGGCACAACAGGACGAACATCTCTAATGTCCTTGGTCAACCAGCTTCCTCAGAAAGACTAGGTTGGATGACTATGTAATGAAGTTTAACTGGTGAGCAAAATGACTATGATTACTATGATGACTATGACAGGGTATATACAGGAATCATGGAGTTAAATTTAATACCCTTTAAGACCTTTTTTAAGACTCTTTCCATACATTTTAAGACCTCATCGCCACTCCAAGTTTTAACCGGTTACATCGGCGACACTTTAACTTACATTTACTATATATTGATTGTAAGATAGCACAACTAAACAGACTTACGTTGTGATAACTCCTTATCAATACAACATAATTCAGAAGTGGGGAACGAAGCACGAGAGAATTAAGTGACTAACCAATGCAACCAAAGAATAAGAATTAGACCAGTAAACAAAACAACTGACAAAAACTTATTGAGGAGGGAAAATAAAGCTCTCCGAGCTAACGGGGCAATGAGGTCACACAGTATATTCAAAAGATGTATTTGTCACATAACTGTCTGCAAACCATAGCTCTTTTGTGGAACACTCCTCATGACAAACATCTGACTGATCAGACAGTTTACCTGTGATTACGGAGTGCTTGATTTGATGCAGACTTGACAGAGTGTCAGTATTGCACCTGATTGTGTCTGAATGATCATGGAAGGTAAAATAATGATCACAACGATTACATCATTTTAATTGTGCATCCCAAGCCCATGCTAGTAAAAAAAAAAAAAACAGCCCAAAATAGCGCAATTACCATGTCCCAAATATAAAAATGTAATTTCCATCCCTAAAATACATATTTTACAGTCACTGTTATGCACATTTATCATAAACACTCAAATGCTTCCTACTAGTGTAAAAACATTTAGCACAATTTTATTACAGGTAGAATGCAAAATGTTTCAGTACAAGCATTTCAACCAAATGTAATTTATGCAATATTTCAAACCTTTAACCCACTGGAGAAAATCAACACATGGCAACAATTTAAAAGCAGCCCAATTTCGTGGAAAAAACAACAACAACAACAACCCTGCATCCAACACGAGCTGCAGAAGTCAGATTTGACTGATCACGGGTCAGAAGTAAGGAGCGGGAGTGGATGGGAGCATGCAATAATGGTCAGAAATTTAGTGAAAGTGGGGATCAACAAGTCCCGCGCTATCACGCAGCAGCGCAGTCAGTCAGTGAGCGCTGTAACAGATGACGTCAAAACTTGCGGGATTCCATAAATAAACTACACAGAACCCCACTATTCGACAAATATACATAATGAAAAGATGATACAAAATTTAATACCTTGGAAAATGGCATTTAAGACTTTTTAATACTTTTTAAGGGCCATAATTTTCTCTAAATTGATACTTTTTAAGACCCCGCGGAGACCCTGTATGATGACTAGTGTTGTTATCGTTAACTAAAACTATTAAAAACCTTGAAATAAAGCTGTAATAAAACAAAATATAAATATTCGATGGAAAACTTCAAAAACTAAAATTTGTTAGTTAGCTACGCAAACTAACTGAACTAAGTTGAAGTATTAAAATGACTAAAACTAAGACTACAATTTTTCTTAAATGAATTAAAGTGAATTAAAGTGACAAAAACATATAACTAAATTACTAAAACTTAAACTAAAAATTAAGATAAAAACTGAAAATTAAAAATATTAATAAGTAATATAATATAAATGTAAATAATACTAAAATAACACTGTGGTAAGCCAAAAAATAAATAAATAAAGTTTGATGGAAATATACTGTGCTGGCTAGTGGTTTGTGGAATACATTGTTCTGCATTTACAAGCCCTTTTTTTTTTTTTTATAGGAATGAAATTTAACAAATGAGATGTCTTTAATATTACTCCTCTAATTCTCCTCTTAGAGAGCAATATGATTTCATGGAGAACAAATGCAGACTTTTGCTTAGATTGATACTGTTTTGAGAGTTTTAAGACCCAAGATGAACCAGGAATGAGAACTAATTAATGTAATGAATTTTCAAAACATTCAATTTGATAATGTTAAATAAAAATGCTTATTAAATATTTGAACACTGACTTTACTGTTAAAGGCTAAAGCTAACCTATGTTTCAGAAGATGCAATACAAATCCAAACAGCTTTTATAAATATTTATAAATGTGCTGCCAGTCACGTCACTGTTAATTCCCTTAATGCTCAGTCAACATCCCTGATCTGTACATTGCAATTAGACATATCTCAACTAAAACAGCTTCCACTGGTTGCTTTTGTCCACTGAAATCTTGCTGTATAGAGCTGTATTTCTCAGAATGTTCATCACAGCATCAATTGCCATGGAAAAGCGTCTTTCCGGTCGCCATGGTAACAGAGTAACTGGCCCTGTCTACAGTTAATTGGTCGCTGCTGCTGAGTAGAACAGTTTGTACCCTAAATTTGATTTCATTCAGTGAAATTCACTGAGTCACGAGTCACAAGTTACGTAGGACAAGCACTTAAAGCCGTAAATTACTATCATTATCATCTGCTCCGGAGAGCCTGATTGGTCAAAGAATTCTGTCCTGCAATTATGATATCTGTCAGAGTGTCAATAAAATTTAATTTGCTAAAAGTTTAGGGAAAGTGTGTGTGTGTGTGTGTGTGTGTGTGTGTGTGTGTGTGTGAGACAGC